GAAACCAACTTTCTGAAACTCTTATGTACTGTCTACAAAATATTGCGTATTAGTGTCTTTGAAATTAATTAAGAGTACAGACTGACCATCTTTAAATACTCTAATTACTCTCAGTAATCACGACTATAAATTACTGCAATTAGGTTTATGTATAAAAATCGTATGAAACATCTAATTACCAAGTCTTATAAAAAGACTTAATGTTATATTTCATTTGAGGAAAAAACATAAATTGGGGATTCCTTATCATTTCGTTTCTTAGAGATATTTATATTTAAATGTAAAACAGCCGCAGGCTAGGTTTAATGAAATAAATAATTCAGTTATATACCTGAAGAAAAGACCACAATATCGTTTTTAACGCATTCAGTGCCCATGACGCGTCTGTGCGTTTTCGAACACGACACTATGTGCCCGACGACTCAAATATGCGTTCTATTCATTAGACCCTTTTCTTTACCTGCTGCCCGTCGACGCGCCCGAGGGTCTATTGTTTCGAAACCCATATTTACACATATGTACTTCCTTATCTGATTTCTTTGATAAAGGTCATTACACACTACGTACGAATTATAAAAAACTAGCTTCTGCCCGCGACTTCGTACGTGCAATCCTATTTTTCCCGGAAACTAAAACTAAACTAAACTTTTTTTTCAAACGGGATAAAAAGTCCGTACCAAATTTTAGCTAAATCTGTTCTGCTGTTCTTGAGTTATAAGTGGTGTAACTAACACGACTTTCTTTTATATAATATAGATTATTCTACTACTACCAGTGCAATAATCGACAAAATTTAGCTTCGTTGCGGGCAGTATTTTTTTCCTTGTATTGTTCGCATGTAATGTTGTTGTTGTAAAAATAAACAATTTTATAAGCGTAAATAAAAAATAGTGGTATTTTGAACAATTTAGAAAAGATATATCCACGTAAGACTACGATCACCGTGGGTGGTATTTTTTTCAATGTTATCTCGATCATCTTATCTTTTTCAAAGAAACCTAAAATTTCATATATGGCTCATACCTACATACGCACAATAGAATCCCATTAGTTTACTGATAACGGCAATACAATGCACGGCGGTGCCTTTGAAGATTGTAAATACCACGAGAACTAAAGCCAAAATCTACCTATATGTCTAATGGTTTTTTCAAAGAAACCTAAAATTTCATGTATGGCTCATATCTACATACGCACAATAGAATCCCATTAGTTTACTGATAACGGCAATACAATGCACGGCGGTGCCTTTGAAGATTTGAATTACCATGTCCACCAGGCGCTATAGCCAACTATCGAAATGTTTTAGGATAAACCTATACGAGATAATAAGTACCTACCTAAATGTCTATGGCTAAAGACTATAATTTATAATAAAAATTATAAATATTGGAGCAGCCAGAAATATTAAAACATACAATGTTGAGCGACCAAAATTTAGTGTCATCCCCACTACTGGGCGTGGCTTCCGTCGTCAATATAAAGAGGTGATTTGCTGGACCGGTGTACCCGACCGAGTCATTCGAGCCACGGTAGCCGTCGAGTCAACAATTCCTGAGAATGCACCGTGAAAGACCGAAACACATATCGACTATAGTCGAATGTTTTGTGTCGCATCTCTGCTGCATGAGCGTTTACCTGCTGGCCGGAGGGCAGTGCTGGATACTGCATGCTGTAATTTCATTCCTTCAGTGGAATAAAAACAATTTATTATAATAAAAACTATAATTCTCGGAGTTTCTGTTATATTTCCATTACCCAATTAAATTAATGGGTGAAAACTTTTTGTCACCATTCAAGGGACCAAAAGGTCAATATCCAACGTTAGTTAAAACCTTTGTTAAATGTCATCTGTCAAAAGTAAAACTTTTGACATTTCGCGCGCTCTCAGTCAAACTTACAAAACTTTTGGACAGTTTTGGAACTTCGATCGAACCAGTGTGAGGCTGTGAACAAACTTGTCCAAAATGATAGCCAATGTCTGGATGGTTGCTCATTTTGTTCACTGGTAAGTGATTGTGTTGTCATTATTAATCAATAATCGGACCTATTTACTTAAAACACTGCTATTAAGTTATGTTTACGAAATATTCCATGTACCTAAAGTTTTTGAGCATGTTCATTCATGTCCAGCTCTTGTAAATGGATCATACGACTAAGTTTTTGCCGTAATCTCGTAGATTTGATACACAAAAGCATAAATACATAGTGATTGTGTTGTCCTTATTAATCAATAATCGGACCTATTTACTTAAAACACGTAATGTTTACGAAATATTCCATGTACCTAAAGTTTTTGAGCATGTTCATGTCCAGCTCTTGTAAATGGATGATACAACTAAGTTTTTGCCGTAATCTCGTAGATTTTGTAAGCATAAATACATTTACTTGTAAACTTAAATGACAATGGTTTTTGTTTTAGTAAAATGAACGAGTACCGCCGAGCGGCGCGGCGCTCGCGGCGCCTGACTGCGGTGGAGGCCCGGCGGCGCGCTGGCGCCATCCAGCTGCCACCAATTCCACTGCCGTGGGATTGGCACCCTGGGAAGGCGTCAGCGCCCATAAATATACCAGTGCCCTCCTGGTGGAGGCACCCAAATTTAATTTTCGGTCGGCGGGGTTGGGACTAAATGAATACCTTTAGTCACAACCCCGCCGAAAATATACTATGAACTGTAACATATGTTGTTTAATTTGCCAAATATGTATTATATACACAGACCTTAAATCTATATACCTATTACGTCTTCTGCAAGAGATTTCAAACCATAACCTCGTGTCTGAGGTGCAGTAAGTACCTATGTTACCCAGTTATAGTAGTTCCAAAAAACAAACGTCTTTGATAAGATACTGTTTAGGTACCTAAAACAAGTTTCTTACGGTCGTTCCATAAGAAACTTTGATATAATATTATGTAGTACATTTAGGTAGGTAGTTATTATCTCGTATAGGTTTATCCTAAAACATTTCGATAGTTGGCTATAGCGCCTGGTGGACATGGTAATTCAAATCTTCAAAGGCACCGCCGTGCATTGTATTGCCGTTATCAGTAAACTAATGGGATTCTATTGTGCGTATGTAGATATGAGCCATAAATGAAATTTTAGGTTTCTTTGAAAAAACAATTAGACATATAGGTAGATTTTGGCTTTAGTTCTCGTGGTATTTACAATCTTCAAAGGCACCGCCGTGCATTGTATTGCCGTTATCAGTAAACTAATGGGATTCTATTGTGCGTATGTAGGTATGAGCCATATATGAAATTTTAGGTTTCTTTGAAAAAACAATTAGACATATAGGTAGATTTTGGCTTTAGTTCTCGTGGTATTTACAATCTTCAAAGGCACCGCCGTGCATTGTATTGCCGTTATCAGTAAACTAATGGGATTCTATTGTGCGTATGTAGGTATGAGCCATATATGAAATTTTAGGTTTCTTTGAAAAAACAATTAGACATATAGGTAGATTTTGGCTTTAGTTCTCGTGGTATTTACAATCTTCAAAGGCACCGCCGTGCATTGTATTGCCGTTATCAGTAAACTAATGGGATTCTATTGTGCGTATGTAGGTATGAGCCATACATGAAATTTTAGGTTTCTTTGAAAAAGATAAGATGATCGAGATAACATTGAAAAAAAAAAATACCACCCACGGTGATCGTAGTCTTACGTGGATATATCTTTTCTAAATTATTCTATATTTAAAACCTCTAATTATTTATTACTTACATCGTAGAGTATAAAGGATTTTGTTTGATTTATAAAGTTGTTTATCGTTTCTGAATAGGTACATTTTGTGACGACTTTTATAGAGTACTCTTTATAATGTTTAGTACATATGAATTTAGTAAATACAGAATTGCATAAGATTATTTTAATATGTAATTGTTGTTCATATTCTTCACATTCTACATAATTCACCTACTTATAAAAGGAAATCAAAAAATATTATATCTCAGACCTCAAATTGACTTTACTTCCGGTCATTCGGATTTTGTTCATAGGTTTCACACTATTTGCAACTTATAGAGATACTCTATCAGAAAGATAATGATATATTAATTAATCTGGTTTTAATTAAACTGATCTTAATTTAATACTTTATATATTTGTGTCGTCTTTCATAATAGTATGTATTTTCTAAAATAAGTATCTTTTGAATTTATTGAAATCTGAATGTTGGCACTAAAGAAAGAAAAAACTTGCGAGTTGTTTACATACACGACGTGTGGACTAGAGACCGTATAAAATGTAAGTAGTATTTTTATAAATAATGACAAAGTAAACCACTTGAACTTAGAATGGATTATTTACAGTATTGGTTAGGTACTAGATTTGTGTCCAATATAGTTATTTCGTGTCTGATATTAATATTCTGAAAAGAATTTACACACAAGTGAGAAAATACAGCCATATTTAGTCAGTTTAGCATATTCTACTTGAGAATTCTCTCTTCAGGGAAGACGAAAACACACGGACTAGCGACTGGACGCCGGTGGTACAGACAGAGGCAGGTCCAGCACCGGGGCCCAGCTTGAAAGAGCTTCTCGCCGAAGCAAAGGCCACCACATTGGTGGTGGCCCCTAAAAGACGATGTCCGTGGGCCGATGAGGCGGCGCAATGGCCTACGCCGAAGGGGAAGGGCGTAGGCAAAAAATCTAAGAAAGCAGTTGTATAATATACTTAGATTACTTATAGATTATAATTGTCTTTTATTTGTTTGTGAACCATTATGTACCCATATTTATTATTTATATAAAATGTCGAATGCGGAGCCAGCAGTGTAGTGAGTAGATGGTTATAGGTAGGTAGGCTACCAATAACAGTAGGTAATGAAAGACGTCACATACTTAATATATAACGGTTGATTTACTTTTTAGGACATATAGCATATCAAAAGTTGTTATTAGGTATTGTTACATAAATGCACTAGATTCGAAGGCAACTTTTTTTGACACTAACATAATAGGTACCTAAATAAATACTTATGTATTTGAAGACAATATAAGGATTGTGTATGTATATATGTATATATCAGTCGCATAAACATTGGTAAGAAAAATAAAAAGAAACGAAAGCATATCCATTCTGTCAGTTTTGCAATTTGGGGTTGCCACACGTAGAAAAATTTTACTCCATTTAAAATAAGTTAAATTTTAATACTGTAAAGTATAATTAAACTCAATTAATTATTCCATAAATTTTAAAATATAGAATTAAAATTAAGGGTTCCAGTGTATTACTTCTTTTAATTCTTACAATTTTTTTTTATATCTTTTTACCATTTCCATATCTTTATACTATTTTATAAACTGGCAACAGTTATTTGGCCAGTTCGGGTAGAACGGCACCGCGTTTTCTCAATCATTCTTCTGCAAACCTTTGTAGAAGGCGGACGCTTACTCTCGTCTTACGAAACCGTGGTTCATACTTTTTGACCCCGGCTTTGATTCCGATTTCGCTTCACTTGACAAATACGACTGTGTCTAAGTGTGTTGATCCTGCTATACCTGACGACCTGTGTCACTAATCCTGACATTTTTGGCTGTATCGGAATTTCTGATCCTGATCTTCCAAAGATATTAAATGTAAGTACTTTTTGAAATAAGTTTTTATTTTATACTGTGCATAATAATTTTTCATTTTTAACAACCGCTTTCCGCTCGTGGCTGAATGACTACATATTATTGAAATACTGCGTTGAATTTATGTTCTTGTTTATTTAATGTTCAGGCATTTAAATATTTTTTGAGTAGATATATTCTTTTTCATTAAGTTAGATAGCAATATCAGCATATTTTGAGAGCAACGACCTTTTCACTAACCCAACCATCCGTGCCGTCGTATTTACAAATTACTATAGGTTTGAGGTCGAATTCGAGTTTGTTGTAATTACTTATTAATTGTAACTAGATTTCGAATATCTATTTTTACCGTAAGGTCGGTAAGGTTATTTTGGCTACTTGTTTTGGAAAACTATCTCGTGTTGATCGTTTTCTAAAATGAAAGTGAAAGTTTCAGTAATAAAAATTGTTCTGGCTACTTGTTTTGGAAAACTATCTCGTGTTGATCGTTTTCTAAAATGAAAGTGAAAGTTTCAGTAATAAAAATTGTTCTATGTCCTTTTCCGGGTTTCAAACCATTTTTGTATCAATTCGAATCAAATAGGTGCAAAGTGGTTTAAAAGATAGAGAGTGCCAGGATTTGTTTTCGTAGGATGTTCGGGTTGAAGACTGTAATACTTCTTTTCCCAGGTTTTAAACTATCGCTGTACCGAATTTCTCGAATCCCATGGGAACGGAAAAACGGGTTAATGTGATTAATTTACTCATTCATTATCAGTTTGCCCAAGTTAAGTAAATATAAAAAATCAAAACATGTTAGTGTTACACAAATGTTAAAAATATTGCACTATTTCATTTAGATGGATAATATCGAGGAAAATCTCCGAATGATTTTCGGCGAAGAAGAGGCTGAAGAATATCGGCAGGGAAGCCGGCACCGCACTATAAGTGTGACTTCGGAGCCATCTCTTCAGGGATCTGACCTCTCCGATGAGGACGAGTTGGACCGGTATTTTCTTTCATCTAACTTTATATTCATTTAGTATAGTTTTTGTAAATGGAGTGGCAGGTATTAATGACATATAATAATATATTATTATAGGACTTTCGAATCTGAGGAGAGTGCTGCTGTATCGGAGGCAGCTGGAGACTCCGAGGGCCAAGCAGAATGGGAGGAAGGCCCATTTGTTCCCATCGACGTGCCATCCACTCCACCCAGCCCAGGACTGCTCGTAAGGGGTACCGCGTCAATGACGCCTTTCCAATATTTTCAAATATTTTTTAATTTATCTTTTTTAAGGCATTTAGCATGCATGACTAACGAGCATGCTGAAAAAATTATCACAGGGACAATTATGAAACCTGAGAGCCGACTCAGGAGGTGGAAAGCCACCACTGCCGAGGAAATTCTAACTTTCCTGGGTATTTTATTCTTTATGGGGACAGTTAGACTGTCAAAAATTAATGATTACTGGAAGAAATCACATTTAGTTAGTTTTAATTTACGAAAGTATATGAGCCGCAATAGATTTTTATTAATCTTACGGATGCTGTACTTCAATTATGAAAGTACAAGTACTCATATTTACGATAAAGTGGATCCACTCATCGAATATTTTAATAATACCATGAAAGGTTCTGTTTACCCAGAAAGGGAGCTCACAATAGACGAGTCTATGGTTTTATTTAGAGGACGGCTCGCCATTCGCCAGTACATTAAAAATAAACGCCACAAGTTTGGTATCAAACTGTATATATTAGCTGATCCCAAAGGACTTGTGCACAGGATACACATGTATAGGGGATCAGCTGATAGCGAAGTGAGCGGTACTGGACACGCAAAAAAAGTCGTCCTCAAATTAACCGAAGACTTTATTAACGCTGGTCACTCGTTATACATGGACAATTATTACAATAGTGTGGATTTGGCAGAAACTTTGTTACGCCAAAACACGTACTGCACAGGGACACTTCAGGTGAAAAGAAAGGGAAATCCGGTAACAGTGACCAGCAAAAGATTGACAAGAGGTAGTGTCGTATACAGAAAAAATCGGAATGGTGTATGTGTCATGAAGTGGAAAGACAAAAGGGAGGTTTTGACTCTTTCCACAGAACATACACCGGATATTCTGAATACGACAAACTGGCGTGGTCGTGGCGTATCGAAGCCTGAAATGATTATTAAATATAATAAATTCATGAAAGGTGTAGACCGGCATGACCAAATGCTGTCCTACTACCCATGCGAGCACAAAACCATAAGATGGTATAAAAAAATTGGCATCCACATTATGCAAATGATGTTTTTGAATTCCTTTTTCATGTTTAATGAAGGGACTGGGAAAAACATGTCATTGGAATCGTATAGAAGTGAGGTATTGCGTGGCCTTTTGCCACCACCTATTTCTAGAATAGATCCTCCAGCGCTCCCAACACACATGCCCAAGGAATTGAACAGAAATTCCAACGGTGTGTTGAAGCGGAGAAAGTGTGTTAGATGCTGGAGTGTACACAAAAAGAGGAAGGACACCGGTATTTTCTGCCCTGATTGCGACGTAGGGCTATGCATTGCATGTTATGGCTCATATCATATTGAAAACAAATTATTACCTTAGAACATTAGGGTAATAACTTGTTTGTTTAGCTTTTTATCACCTGATGGTAAGCAATCGGTATTTGGTGATGGGAATTTTGGTGGTGGGAATTTTGGTGGTGGGAATTTTGGTGGTGGGAATTTTGGTGGTGGGAATTTTGGTGGTGGGAATTATGGTGGTGGGAATTATGGTGGTGGGAATTATGGTGGTGGGAATTATGGTGGTGGGAATTATGGTGGTGGGAATTATGGTGGTGGGAATTATGGTGGTGGGAATTATGGTGGTGGGGGATTTAGTGATGGGAAACTGGTGATGGGGAATTTGGTGACGGGCAATTGGTGATTGGGAATTAAGGTTTTGATGACGGGGGTGTTTAATGATTGTGGGAAATTTGGGATTTAGTAAATTGGGTTGTGCTGATTGGGGAAAATTGGGGGTGGGAGGATTGGGGATGTGGTGAGGATTGAGCCTTCGGACACCTTAATCACACGGAGAAACAAAGCAAGCGTAGTTTTACGCCAGGTTTCTGTGAGGTTCAGGCTTTCTGTTGGATCCTGCTCTCCATAGCTAAATTGGTGGACCAGTCGCACTGTTAAAGTCCACGTTTCTTTCCTGTACGTTAAAGCTTTGCGACATGTGATGAAATGTTCATCTACGATAAAGACCCCTTTCTTTTCAATTGAACTGTCCTTGTGCAAATTTTAAATGTGAGAGATCTCTCACGTTTGAGATTAAGTTCTATTACGAGAATCTCATGTAATGATTTTGTTTAGTTTTTGATTTTGGCATGTATTTACATTTTTTTCGTGAAATCAATATTTTTGGCGTGCAAAGTTTGCCCCGCACCTGGTCTGCCTGGATGCCTGGTCACCAGGCATTGCAAAGCACAGGAAATTATGCAAAATTTCGAAGGTGTGCATTGCAATGACACGTGGACTAGGCCTACAGGGGACACCACGAAAAAAAAAACGCGCCGCTTACTCTACCTCCAGGTGGTGTGGAAATGAGTTCATTCAAATGTAATTAGATGTATTAAAAATATTAAAATATACCTAAGTACATACATTGCGGCGCTCGATCACCAAATACGTAAATATTGGTTGTAAAAAAATGTAAATACATATACATATAATTTTATTTTGTATTGTACTAGCTACTTCCTCGCGATTTCACCCGCTCTGCAGGACTCCTTCAGCTTTCAGCTTCAGCTTTCAGCTTCAGCTTTATATAATAGTAATAATACCTATAGTATTATTATTATTAAGTATAATTATGTTTATCAATAAATAATAAACAAAATAAAGTATGTAATAAAGATACCTATGTACTCTGTTTTTATATATGTATTGTCCTCTGTGTTGAATGTGTGTACATAAATCAATAAATAAATAAATAAGAATTTGCTTTTTACTTATTTTTGTTGACTCTGTTCATATTCATAACATTGCGAATTTATCTGTAACTAGTCCGATGATATTCAATATAAAAGACAAACATGACCAATCGGTTGTGCGGAGATGCGGCGAGCACGCTTGCGCGAGCGAAGTATAGCTCGGGAATGTTCGGCTATGTTCGGGCGGCCGTGTGCCGGGAGCGCAGGAGCTTACCTACTCTAACATCTACCGCTGGCATCGCGATACATACGATTAAAAATCCAACATCAACCTCCTATGTACCTATTTGTAGTTGGTTAATTAATATACTAAACCCATCCCCTAAATGTAATAAAAGTTTTTCTGAAAACCGCATCAAAATCGGTTCAACCAATCGCGAGATAATCGCGTACAAACAAACACAGGTCAAACTGAGAACCTCATTTTTTTAAGTCGGTTAAATACAACAATTTTCTAAATATAAACCCACTTACCAACTACAGAATTATTACATTCATCCTTAGTTTAAATTTAGATAAAATTTTCAATTTCACTACATAAATAATATTTTGGATTATAAATTCCATGAGGTACAGTGTGTCATCACCCTAACTTTTATCTACAGATACATAATATTATACCGCATTTTCGTAAGTATATAACAAACGCACAGACGCGTCGCGGGCACTCGCCGAGAGTCGAGCGGACGCATATACGAGTTCCGGGCACACGGTGAGAGCCGTAAGAACGCGTATATGAGTTTCCGGCACATGAAAAAGGCAAAAATTGAACGCAATAGTGCGTGCGGGGCACTGTAGTTATGTCTTTATTTCGGGCACTGGAAAAATCCACAGGGCAGTGAATGCGTTAATTTTAGTTGAACGCAATTTTCTGACTGTGTCATCTTCCAGTAATAACGGCGCGATGTAATTTATTGTATAGTCGGATGGATTAAAATGTTCAGAAGCAAAAACTGTGAACATAGTTATCGTAAATTACGTCGGAACAATAAAAATTCAGTCTTACATTTGTTTGATGTATTTTAACGTAGCGAAGAACTTCTCGAGTAGTATTTACTCTGTTTTAGTTCCTACGTAAGCATTGAATCCGGATTCAATTGAACCTGTCGTTTTTCAGCATTTCCAGTTTCGCCAGCAGCACTAATTGTGTGTTTTACAGCTTTACTTCAATCCTTCCGAACAATCCTTTCTACGTTCCTTCTAACAGCTTTGTGTGTTGTAATGCTTTTATTGAATTTGAGCTGAGCGTATAAATAAATTCTTTGTCAAATACGGATAGAAATATCCTGAAATGATGTTGGGGAAAATAATATCTACTTTTGAAAGGAAAGAATTTACGTCCGTAAATCTACGGAGGGTAAATCTCTACTGTTATACACCTGTAGACGTAAGTGCATAACATAGAGTAACTTGTATCTACGTTATGTAACAGCTGTGTGTCGCTCGTTCAGTTCATTGTCTTATTTCTTTTACATTGTTTGTTCCCTGCGAATGTTTTCTTGTGCATTGATCATTACGCCACCATTCTGCTTATTTGGCAAAATCGCTATGCGACTGGTTTTCTGTGTACTGCAGCTTTTCAATTGCCTCGCTGACGTAAGAAATGTTGTTTGAATTTTGGCTGACCACATTTAATGAATAAATGGTTTTTTTTTTCAATCTAATCCCAGTTTGTGGTGGATTTTTCGAAAGTAAAAAAGTATCGTTCTGGTATTCAATTCAAAAGACAATACAATTCAATCGGCAGACCTTTACGCAGAATCAAATCACGTTCACCTACCTGGTTCACTAAAATTGTTTGTTTTCAATATGATAGGCTGGAGTGTAGCATGATTCGTTAATAGTTCGACTTTTTTAATTGATATTGTGTTCCCTTTTTTTTGATGGCGGATAATCATCCAATGACGCCCGCCTTGGGTGAGGCGAAAGAGGGGTTCACAATAATTAGTCTGGTACTAATTGGTTTAATTGACTTTCGTTATTCTTTAGTACTTGATTTGAATGTCGAAAATCTATAACATATTCATCACCATTATAATCGTGTGCACATAATAATTGCGAATGAATTTAGCGAATCGATATTTCGTTACCGTTTCGACAGTTCAGTTGACGCATTTCCATCCATTCTGAACTATAAAAAGGACATGTACCCGTGAAATGAAAAGATCTCTCGTCGAATTTGGCCTGCGTCTGTAGTTGAATAGGTAAATATTATCAATTTAGTGGAACTCATACGGCTAACATATCTTTAAGAATATATGAGGAAAATGTATACATTTTTTGTTGGGACTGATAACAAAACCGTTGCATCTCTGGTAAAATTGTAATAAACACCTAAGAGTTTCATGGTATTAGGTCTATTCTAATTTTAAACTGAAATAACACGACTTACAAAATATATTAAAGTAACGTCGGATCAACTTTAAGTATATAAACCATCACTTTAAGATGCACATCCATCCATTCCTTTATGTTGCATTACCGGGAATATTTACGTTGGAAACTTTTAATCGTTTACGCTACATTGTTTAGAGTATAAAGTTTATTTATTTCGCTTCCCGTAACTCTCAGTAGCTTCCTGAAATAACATTTACTATTCAGATATTAAGTAATAATTTTCACTCTACTTTTACGAGTTTCATCTGGACGAAGTCTACCAGTTTATGTGTTATAATTTTACGAGATAAAAACTTACTTATACGACGTCGTTATTGCTGTTCTGTTTCCAGTTTTAGATTAAAATTGTACATAATTGTTGGTGGAAGGGAAATTACAAAATAACAGTGCTGTGATGGCTACCACGGTACGGTGACGACACAATGACGCGTGCCACGTGAGTGCTTGTAGAAATAAAGATTTTATTACAAACTCTTCACTGTAATATTTTAAGCGATAAACTGCATTGTCAACTGGGAGAGGATATCTTGTCGATAGACCGAAATAATCAATTGAATCCGTCATTTTGTATTTGATAAGCCAATTCTTCAGTTTTTTTACGATAGAGCGACGAGGCCGAGTCTTTTTAAAATCGTAAAAGAGTAAGTTTCACTAATTGAAGAGTGGGTAATGGAAAGTCGTGTTATGTTATTAATAGGGATATAGATATAAATAGCAACGATTAGAATGTCAGCTTGGTGTTCGTAAGACCATGTAGGTGATGATTGTATCATCAAAGTTAATATTACGTCCAATCACCGTTTTGGATTAAATAATTAAGTTTATATCCATCAAATTAATCACATTATCATTATAACACGAAAGGTGTTAAATAAATAAGCAAGCCAATATTTATTTAAGTAAACCAATTACCGGTTAAAATTGCACCCTAATTTGCTTAAAACTGCAAAATGTCGAATATTGGTAAAATACATAACAACGCGGTGTTGAGTAGCAATTGCTATGGAACCGCAAATTACAACTGTAATTTGTGCAATAGGAAAACATAAAGCATTTTTCCACGTAATGAATGTTCGTAAATTTATATTCGGCTGATTCTATTGCTGCATTGAAAGCTTTTAAAATCTGATTAATATTTCGTGTTAATGAACTCACCTGAAATACTGTAGACGCATGCAAATTTGGCGTTCGACAGAAATAACTCTTAAGATAGTTAGTGATTTGATTGAAAAGCTATATGCCCTATATGTTTAAATAGAGCTCATTTTCATTTGAATACATGAAATCAATGCGATGCGACATTTTCATCAATACGGCTTTAATGATA